CAGACGGGGACAAACACGATATGAATGCTCCGATGGGGACAGGATGTTGGAACAGGTGGAACAGATCGCAAAGCAGTCAACTGGGAAAAGCGACCCAGTTCGGTCAGGTGTACAGAGACATCGAATTCGTCGAAGACAGTGCAGCACCAGCATCGGAAAGCACAGACAAATAACCTTTGATGACGGTGATGATAATGATGAGGATGGGATCAGTCTGAGTGCATAAAAGCATTTGGAAGGCAGAACAATTCTGCTCAGTAAATGTGGGCGGAGGGCTAGGTGGATCAGTACACAGCTCAATCGAGGCACAATACTCAACTGGTACGTATGTGGATACGACGATTCAGGAAACCTTTTTACAATTGGTCAAACAGTTGCTTTCTCTCCAGGAACGAAGATGATGGAGTTCGTTTTTTTCGACCCCGATTCGCATATCGCATTTTAACTGTGGCCAAATCCTCATCCAATTTATCACCATTCAGTTGTTCCATGGACTCGCCGTAAGTGGAGTCCAAAGTATTACGACATCCGGATAGATCCGATTTGGAAACTGACGAGGATCGATCGGCGGTTGATTGGCTATCTCGATATTTTGAGACACTTTCGCGATCCAACGGATGTGGAGAAGTAGGAGATTTGGAGTCCGGTACTTTAAAGGTTTCTTTTTTCTCTTTTTGTGGAGCAGTTTCGATCAATACTACATCCGGAGCTAAATGAACACTCGCTGCGGTCTTGTCTCGACTGTTCGCGTCCGGTGCTGAATGGATCCGCATATCGGTATTAGAAACGCGAGGTGATACACCGTTGACACGTTCGACGCGTGTTACTTCACGATCAATCTGTTCGATCGCTTCACGCGCTTGTGAATCACTCGTAGAATTTCGTTCTACAATAATGGTACGGGAACGATTGGATGCATTCTGCAGAAGGAAAAAGATTTTACAAAATCAGGGACATAAAAACAGTGCATTTATAGTTACAAACGACATCATTAGGGGTGAAACTTCACCAGCATTAATTAATAAGCACTAGAAACGTACGAAGGAAAACATTCTTACCAATTCAGAAAGAATGATACTCTATTTTGACAGTGAATGAGTTAGACACCGTTAGTTTCAAGCATGAGTCAATTTTCGGGGACCAGTGGAATTGTTTCTCTATCTGACAATTCTTTCTGAAAAGAGCAACGAACCATGCAAACCGTTGCGCCCCTCAGAAAACCATATTTTCTCCCAGAGTGAATGAAAAAGCCTTCTAAGAAACGCTAGCACGAAGTGAAAGATATTCAAATGACTGTATTCTGGCTGTGAAAATAAATTAATTAAAGTACAAAAGAGAAAGTCGACAATTTGAGCAATAAACGGGTTTATGAAACGCACAAAATCCTCATCTAGTGCAGCCAGAAAAAGCTTGATCTCAAACCTGCAAAGATGCACACACGCTGTGTCCAGGGCACCTTGATCGTGATGGTTACCGGCTCAATCGGGCTTATGGCTACCCCGAAATGTGGTATGATCCGACTGACTAAACATTAACCTTCCACAGATTGGAGGTTTTCACATACCAGCCCGAGGCATGCGAATCAGGCAATCACTGAGCGACTGAGGGCCTCGGTCGTGAATCCAAAATCATTATTCATTACTCGTTTGATCACCAGTTTGAACCAAGCTCTGGTTTTGGGCAGCCTGGTAGTTTCTAAGTGCGTATGAACACAATCATGGATTGCTGTTCGTCCATAAAGATACCAGTAACATGATTCATTTGATACATCCTGGACCCGGACAGATGAGACATTTTTTTAAAATCACCGTGGTCAACATCATACTGCTGTGGATGACATTGAGCTTTGATTGAATTATGCTATTCTCGAAGATAATTAAACAAAAACACTGACCCGACAGGATTCAGTAGCTCATCTGGGAAAAGTAAACACTGTATAAAAGCATAGGTGGTGTTCATGTTTCTATTGCACCGCGTAGATTTTTTCAACAAGTGCTACTTGTCGAGGAGAGTTGGGCGGAGGGTGGGGTGGTGGTGGAAAAAGTCCACGGGTGAGACTAGATTATGACCTGATGAAATGGTGCAAAACCTGACCGCGGGGATTCAGCATATAAGTCACATCAGGCTTGCTGATTTGGAACTTCGTGATCAACCGAATCGATGGCTAAAGACAGTGAGTAATATGACTGTAATTCATCACTTGTGGTTACCTTACATTTACTCACTTCATGCGCAGTTCGGGATAGCTTGCTTTCTGTGTATTCTCATCTTGACGGTGCTCTGAGATTTGTCATTTTTCGACAGTCGACCAAATGAGAAACCGAAAGACATCAAACAAAATCGGTGCATTAAATTGTCAAGCTAATGGTTGCGCAAACTGAACCCCCCCCCACTACTAACTGTAAAGTCTATTATTCAAAGTTTAAACCCTGCGAAACGGTTCAGTTAAGAACGACAATATACATATATAGTGCCAGATCTCATAATGTTCCATCATTATTCAGGTGATAAAATCAAGCGAGCGACCAAATGAGGTCACAGACTGCGATCGAACTTTTAATCTAATTAACTTTTGTATTGGAATACATGAGTGGTGTATTTCAAAGCTAGGACAAATCGTTGGAATCGCTTGACCCTCTCCCAAAAGATGAATCATTGTCATGTGAGTGTATGGGGAATATACGCGCTGAATCAACGTGCAGCAGAAAATGTCTATCACAGTCGCAATACAGGATGCGAGAACTGAACAGAAGAAGTAGTGTTGTATGGGTGGGATGAGTGTAGTGGTACGCAAGCACATATGCACACGCAAAAACACGAGCGCAAACAATATATATTTTTATTTGAGTCGGATTATGCAAACCAATACTGCACGTGTTTTGTATAGAAGCCCGTGAACCAGAAAATACATTTTATCGTACGGATTGATTCACGATTCACGTGGTTTTCAGTCTCAGTCAGAATAATGCTTGCGCGCTTCTACGGAGCACACCGTCACACTACGCAAATGATTCCAGCAATCAATAAAAAATGTGTCCTTTAAAGTGTGTATTTCGGTATTATGCTCAAACCTAAAAATACGAAGAAAAATGGAATGAACCAAGGATC